CTCCTATATTTTCTAGTAGTTTCATGATTTCAGCCCTTATATTTAGGTCTATAACCCATTTTGAGTTATTTTTTGTGTTTAGTTAGAGATAAGGATTCCAATTTCATTCTTGTTCTTATAGATACGTCACTTTCTCAATACTATAAATATATTGTTTGATTATGCTTATAGTACATAATAATTATCATCTTGGGGAATTGGTACACATACATATCATAGTATATCATATCTTAATCGTTTATAATTTCCTTTACCCTTCCCTGCCCTCCCTCAGTCTCTGTCCCAGTCCCTCGTCTACCTCTGTAAAGTGTACCTTTCTTTCTCATTTCTCTTTGATTTTGCTTTTAAAATTATTTATATTTTGGATTTCTCATAGAAAGGAAGCTATGCAGCACTTAACCCTCTGTGTCTGGTTTGTTTTACTCAGCAAGCATTAAGATCTGAAATGTGTCTATTTTCCAGCAGGTGGCTCTGGTGCTCTGTTGTATAGACATGCCAGGTTTTCTTTCTTCATTCATCAGTTAATGAGCATGTAGGCCATTTTGAAAATTTAGCTATTATGAATTATCTCACCACTATTTATTTTACTTTATTTCTTTGTTTATTTTATGTATTTTAGTATAGGGACTATAGGGTCTCACCACACAGATCGTACTTATAGTTATCCTCCTGTTTTCAGCCTCCCAAGTGCTAGGATTCCAGGCATGTGCCACCACACCCAGTCTCAGTTGCCATTTTAGCACGCCCCAGGGGTGGAGCTGACATGGCATGCTGGAGATCGAACCCCAGTCCCTGCGCCTGTCTAAGCAGGTGCTTTAGTCTACTGACCTATTTGGATGGCCTTTTACCACTATTTATTAGAGACTACCCTTTCCGTAATGATTATTCTTAGCACCTTTGCCAAATATCAGTTGGTTGTTGATAGTCAATTTACTTCTATGCTGTCTATTCTGTTCCATTGTGGGGGGGAGGGGGAGAGAGAGAATGTGTTTATGCTAATACCATGCTCTTTGGGTTACTGTAACTGTAATCAAAAGTAATTTGTAGCTGAGGAGAGCTCAGTAGAAAAAGATCCTCCATGGCAAGCGCAGGGTCCAGGGTTCAATCCTTGGTAGCGCCAAAAAAAAAAAAAAGTAATTTATACCTCTATGTTCTTTTTGCTCAAGATTGCTTTAGCTATTTTAGATGATTCTATTTATTCAGATTCTTTATTTTTCATTCTGGAAGAATGTCTGGCATTCTGATAGGAATTGCATTGAATTTGTCAAATGATTTGAGTAATGTGGATGTTTCAGTAATACTGATTCTTCAGTCATAAATACAGAACATTTTCCATTTGTGCTTTTCTTTTCAATGTCTTTTATGAATTCACAATTTTGATTATAGAATCACTGGTTAAATTTGTTCTCAGGTTTTTCTTTTTTTTAGCTGCTGTAAATAGTAGTGCCTTATTACTCACCACTGGTATATAAAAAAAGCTACTGATTTTTGTATCCTGTAACTTCACTGAAATCATTCATTAGTTCTTAGGTTTTTGGTGGAACCTCTTGGGTTTTCTGTATTTAAGGTTGTGCTCTATAAAAAGTGAGAATTTCACTTTCTCCATGCCCTTTCTTTCTAACCTTGACTGCCCAGGCTACAACTTCAGGTACTAAGTTGAATAAAATTGTTGGCATTGAGCATTCTTGTTTTCTTCCAGATCTTAGAGACTGTTCAGCTTTTCCTCATCCATTGTGGTGTCAGCTGTGGACTTTTAAACAAATGTTCTTCATTTTATTGAGATATGTTCTTTTAATACCCAGTTTGTTCAGAATTTTTATCATGGAGTGATACTGAATTTTTTAAAATTGCCTTTTATAAGAAATGATGGCGAATCTTAGCAAATGTCATTTTGTGACTATTCCGATGATCATGGCTTTCTCCTTTATTCTGTTTATCTGTGGTATATCACTTTTACTGATTTGTGTATGTTGATCCATTTTTGCTTCCCAGAGTGAATTCTGATTATGTGTAGTAATCCTTTTAATATGCTGTTGGATTCAGTATGCTGTTTTTTTTTTTTTGTTTGTTTTTGTTTTTCTTTTCAGAACCGGGGATTGAACTCAGGCCCTTGAGTTTTCCAGGCAAGCGCTTATTCTACTGAGCTATCTCCCTGGCCCCTTTTCATTATTTTTTTGACGGTGGTATACCTTTGATGTTCTAACCAAATTCTAATACAATTCATTGTGACTGTTTTGCTTGTTTTAGTGTCTTATCAGAGGACAGGGCCTTAGCATTGCCTATTTTGTATTTAGCTGATGTTTCTTTACAGCTTACAGATTATTAAAGCATTACATATGAGTGACTTTAATGTCAAACCATATCAAAATTAGAGATACTGAATAAAAAATTTTTGAATGATTTGATTTTAAGTAATTTCCTAGAACCTGTTTTGTCTTTTGTCTTTTTCCTGTTAGGACTTCCCATCTTATGGGTGTGTCACTCAGGAGCTTCTCCCTTTGCTGTGACCTATTAAGTCAAGTTTGCCGGACAGCAGTGACTCACTGCAAAGATGCTTTAGAAAGCCATCTTCATGTTATTGTTGGTACACTCATACCCCTTGTAAGCGATCAGGTGGAGGTTCAAGAACAGGTAATTTCCCAGTTCATCCTAAAAGCACTATTTGGAATAAAATGTTAGGAGCGGAATGTTTTTGTTTGCCTGGTATGCTTAGTAATTGTAATGAAAATGTTTTTGAAAAATGGTTGGGAAGACATTTTAAATGAATTAACCTTTGTAATCAGTTAATTACAGAACACAGTAATACTGCTCTAACCTGATTTGTGTCTGTTACACTAACATGTAGAAGTAGTCAAAACTAAGGACAGCAATTCACATGAGTAAGATACTGTGTGAGCTATTATATAAAATGTTCTATAGTGTTTGGATTTTTATTACTTAGAACTTGTCTTTTTTTTTTTTTTGAGACATGTCTGTTTATTTTTTATTTTTTTTTAATTTATGTGTGTGTGTGTGTGTGTGTGTGTGTGGCCAGCTCAGCCCACCAGGGGGTGGGGCTGGCTGGCATGTGGTGCTGGGGGATTGAACCGCGTTCCATGTGCTTTGCTAGGCTTGTTCTAAGTAGGTACTTTAGACCACTGAGCCATCTCACCAGCCCCTTAGAACTTGTCTTGAATATTACCTTATTACATGTTTGTTAAATCATTTAAAAACCCTGAAACTAAAAGTTTGAGTATCTTAAAAGTAATCAAGACATTTAAGCTACAGTAGCAATTTTTATTATTTATTATTGTAAGTTGTTATAATTTTGAAATATCATAAGGGATTGTTTTTTCTTTTTAAATTCTATTTAGGTATTGGACTTACTGAAATACTTGGTGATAGATAACAAGGATAATGAAAACCTCTATCTCACAATTAAGCTTTTAGATCCTTTTCCTGACCGTGTTGTTTTTAAGGATTTGCGTATTACTCAGCAGAAAATCAAATACAGCGGAGGATCCTTTTCACTCTTGGAGGTAGTAGAAGTTTCATCTTAGTGTTTTGTGTTAGAGAGTGTAGACAGTAGTACTTTTTAAAAATTCTCTAGTGCTCTAGTAGCAAAAATGGAGTATTTTACTTTTTATTATTCTTTTAATCTTTTATTTATTTGCTTACTTACTTGGTACAGGATCTCACTACGCAGCTAGGATTCATAGTGATCCTCCTGTCTCAGCCTCCCCAGTGCTGGGATTGCAGTTGTGCACCAGTATGCCTGTTTTCAGTGGCTGGCGCTGTGTGCCTGGCCCAGCATGGCATGTGGTACTGGGGATTGAACCCCATTCTTGCACTTGCCTGCCAGGTGTTTAGCCTGCCAAACTGTCTTTCCAGCCCGTTGAAAGTATCATTTAGTCCTTTGAGGTTCAATTTAATGTTTGCACTAGAGGTTGTATTTAACTTTTTAAAGAGTATTTCAAAGTTCAATCCTATTTTAATCTTTAAAGTCTTCAAAATTACGTTAAGGCATTGTTTTCCTTATAAATCTTGTTATTTTTTTAAAATCATAGTATATATTTGACTGTTATCAGTGTGAAAACACACTTAGACATTAAGATTAGAGTTATATTCTTTTTTTGTGTGTGTGGTACCAGGGATTGAACTCAGGACTTTATGCTTGCCAAGCAAGTGCTTTTCTAATGATCTATCTCCCCAACCCCTTAGAGTTATATTTTTAAATAAATAAAAATAAAACTTTTACTCCCATTGGGTTACTTAATAATCTTGAGATTTAACTGTTATCATGAAAAAAGTATACTCAAATTTAAAAGATCAAAACATAGAAGGAAATTATTTCTACTTTATGTGGCTTACATATGAGTCAGTATCTGTAAAAGGCTCTAGTTTCATTCATGAAGGTGTATCCTGCAAACTTACCCATGTCAGAAGGAAGTTACATTTTAACTAATTTTTAAATTCTTTTTGTTTTTTAGGAAATTAACCATTTTCTCTCAGTTAGTATGTATGATGCACTTCCGTTGACAAGGCTTGAGGGATTGAAAGATCTTCGAAGACAACTGGAACAGCATAAAGATCAGATGATAAATCTTATGAGAGCATCTCAAGGTACATATTTTAATGTTAGGAGTTCTTTCTGCCTGTTCCTGTTTCAAATAATCTTTATAAGTCCTTTCTCTTGGTTTGATTGTGCCAGCCATAGTTTAGATCCTTATCATTTTTCACCTAACCATAATATTGGTCCTAACTATTCCTTACCTTGAATAATTTTCATTTTATCCATCCTCTACCACAATGATGTCTTTGAACCAGATAGGATCATACTATCCTACCACATTTAAATTTTTTAACAATTCCTACAGCCTGAAAAATTTAGGCAGGATGTGGTTGTACCCCTGTGATCCCAGCACTTGGGAACCTGAGACAGGACAGTTGCTGTGAGATCGAGGCCAGCCGAGGCCCCAGAGAAAGACCCTACCTCAAAAAGAGGACCAAACAAAAAAATTCTTTAGAGCTGGACATATCAAGTATTGTACCACTGCCCTTTATATAACCCTACTTGAATGAGAAATTTCTCTCATTATAACCCTTTTAGTTGTATTAAATATTTATGTGTATTTATGCATATTTTGACCTTTACTTAAAATATGTT